ACATTAATTAGTAATGATTTTGAGAAGTGTTTATTAGTTTTTGGCAAAGGCAGGTCCAGCCATTTCAAAGATACGGAGCTAAATATGTAAAAAATGGCAGTTTTTGAGAGAACTAAGCGTCCGATTTAAATGATTCAAAGAACTTTCTGCTTGTCTTAACAAAATAATTGTTTTTTTTTGTATATCGGAAATAATTCAGATTTTATTTTTATTCTGACTATAGTTCTAATATAACTTAAACAAATAATTTCAACTTTGCAATTCAGTTTATATAATTCTTATAAATATTAGACAATGTTACAATATTTATAATAATCTATTTCAAAACATTCAGTATTCCTCGAACATTTCGTTACGGTACGGGAAGTTCCAGCAATTTGCCTTAAGGCACGATGCCACCCACTAGTACTTTTTAATTTCACGAAGTTAAAGCTGGTTTTGCTAAAAAAATTGATTTGAGAACGTAAAATATTTTTTTATGGTTCTGTGGCGATATCAAGCAGGCTGGTTTTGATTTGTAAAAAACAATGGGACATGTCATGTATATTTTTGATATCGAAATATTTTTACAGTTAATAAATTTATATTTTTTTATTATGTTGGGAGTTTCTAATTTAATATATTATCATAATCATTACAACTCCCACATTGGTGACTCACGACGATGGAGATGAAGATAAAGGAGTTTTATTTTTCGAAGATTTAAGAAAAATTGATTTTGACGCAGCACCATAATCACTGGTCTTCAGTGACGACCTATAAGGTATGTCCAGTCCAATCCATCATAGTTAACGCACTTACTATCTGGATCAGACTTCCGAGGTTACTCATTTGGTATACCCAGACCTCAGTGTTTATTGCTACCAGAAAAAATAATTTGGAGCCTGAACTTTTCATTGGAATGCAATTCAACCTCTCTTTCTCTGTTAACTCAACAAATCGTCTTATAATGCTACCTCCCATTATCGGTGACAACGACGAATCAAAACAAAATTTGACATAATTTATTGGATTCCACAATTCTGGACTCTTATGTCAAAGAAACCAATGATCCTGATTTGGATAAAGAGCCAACTTCTTTCTCTGATCGGAACTCATCAGATACGAATGCAACGCTTGCAGAAATGGAAACTGTACCCATAAATTATGCATTCTAAACATTAAGTTATTCTGATATAACTAATACCCATTAGATCGAGAACATTATGCAGAATATGGAGTTGATGGCAGGTCAAATCACCACATACGGTGGATCTGCTGACGAAACATGGAAATTTGTAATTGACCAGTATTACAACACTGGTCTGCTATAATCTGCTTTCCCACCACATTTTTATAACGTGTTTCCCTGTATTTTTTTTTAAACTGTGAGATCAACACTGGGCAGGGAGTGTGTGGCGATATCAAGCAGGCTGGTTTTGATTTGTAAAAAACAATGGGACATGTCATGTATATTTTTGATATCGAAATATTTTTACAGTTAATAAATTTATATTTTTTTATTATGTTGGGAGTTTCTAATTTAATATATTATCATAATCATTACAACTCCCACAGTTCTTAACTAAACAAAACTTTTAAAAATGTCCCGAGCTTAAGAATGAAATATCGAATTCAAAGTCGTTTTATTCAAAACTTTTATATCGGAGTGTAAAATATTTAGTTTTTTACTGAAAAAAAAATTACTTAGTATGTATATTTATTGATCATCTAGTATATTTATATATCAAAGAACACCCACTTTACACATTTTTCTAAAATATCTTGTTCTTTGTTCATAGAAATATAGATGAACGAACATATCGTATGTAAATTTCCGGAATACCAAAACCGGAACATTTTCCGGAAACCGTCTCTACTTTCAATATACGCTCCGATTGTTTTGATCAAAATAAATATACTTGTAACATATAAAATTTGCGAGAAATACTTGTATACAAAAAACAATATATATAAATTATAGTATTTAAATGTAAAAAAATGGTTTAGGGAATTAAGCAAAATACTAGGAAAAATAAGGAAATTATTGAAAAAAAGTAATTGTTGATAGAATATTTTTGAAAAAAATTGAGTGAACAAAATAACAGTCTACTAGTAATAAATTATTGTTAAAAAAATATCTTGGTATAAATAGACAAAATATATTTTTCGCCTTTCACGTCATATATTTTAATTCCGAATGTTTGCTTCGCAAACAAAACCAATAATAGGTTTTCTGTAAGCAAAACTGATTGAAAAAATCCAGCTGACATCACCATATTTTATGAAAAATAGCAAAAACTTATACTTGATAAGATAAGAATAAAATTGGATCCATTGTAATCCAAATCCAAAATTTTTGTAATTCGAGTTATTTGACAAAAACTAAAAAATGTTCTGAATTTTCTATTTATTGCCAAAGAATCAAATATCGAATTCAAAGTCGTTTTATTCAAAACTTTTATATAAAACTGTATAAAAGTGTTCCTTACAAAATGTTGTAAATTTTATCTAGTTTCACCCCATTTAACTGAAAAGGGGTAGTTCAATATGAAATTTTTGAGTTATTTGACAAAAACCACAAAAATGTCCCAAATTTTTTATATTTATTGCTTAAGAATGAAATATCGAATTCAAAGTCGTTAATCAAAAATAACTATGTAATCTTTGTCTCTCTAGTATATTATATTCATATTTATATATTTACATACATTTCTTTTTATTTATTATTAATTAATAATATTTTTATTATGATTTTATTATTTGTGCAGAAAATGATAACTATAAAAATTGAGTTTGCAAAGTTTATTAAAAAAACAGTGAAACATTTTTTTGAAATTACATCATTTTTTATATTATAATGTAATAGATATATATATATATATATATATATATAATATAATATATTGATATATAATAATTATTCATTATAATATTAATGTATTTATTATATTTTTATTTCAGGTTTCAATCAAAGAAATCTCTACCAGCAAGTTCAACAATATTTTTAAAAAGTGCAACAATTGTTTTAAAATTTCCAAAAATAATGTGTTTACTAGAAAATAATAATATAAAGTGGTTTCTACAATTTTCCCAGAATCAAACTTTTGTGATTTCTAGTAAACAACATTTTTTACAGTATTTAAACTTTAATAAGTGAAAAGTGATAAATAAAATTAATATTTTACTTTTTAAACATTATTAGGTAATGAATTGTATTAAGTGATTAATAGTGATAAATATAATGACGATGATTTTTAAAAATGTGTGTATGTGTAATTGATCTAAAGTCTGCAAAAATAGTGTCCAAAAACTGGGAAATTGAAGGTTTTTGGATCACAAAAACCTGATTGGTTTCCAAAATTTGCAAAAATAGTGTCTAAAAACTAAAAAATTGCACGAAGAACCAACATTTTGAAGAAATCAAACTTGAAGTTCAAACTCGCTCTGGTAAATTGTGCACATTTTAAGTCTAATACTAGCAAGATTTAGTTACATTTTAAAAAAAAAAAACTCGAAATTTTTGTTCATAAGACTCTTATGATTAGCTTAGCAAAAACTAGATAAAATTCGCCGATATAAAAATTCTGAATAATACGAGTTTGAAATCGGTTTTATATTGCATACAAGTTTGCAATAGAATGAATATTCCGGACTTTTTTCTACAATTCTTCAAATAACTCAAAAACTTTGTATGTGGCACTCTTTTTTAGTTAGTTTAGCAAAAACTACATAAAATTTACTATTAACTAATATATACAATCTTTTATGTTCTCATATAAAAATAATAAACAATATACCTAGCAACTTATAACAATTTAAAAGTAAAACTCGTTTAACAATCCATCACATAAAAGTAGTTTCTTAGAAAATTCCAATAAATTATGTAACTCTTTCTGAGAATTTTTGTAACTTTTTGCTCTTTTATTTTCATTCTGTTGTAACAAACGAAATTGTGTAATGGCATGTAACAAATCTTTGAAAGAAACGTTTGTAAAAGAAAAAGCCACGAATTTCTTTCATTCTTTGGAGTTTTTATGAAAAAAAAGTCTGATTATTAAAGTTTGGTAAAAAAAAAAAAAAAACTCTGAATAAATATATTTTTTAAATAAATTTAAAAGAAATAATTGTTATTCATTATTTTATTTATCTATCATTTTAAATATTTCAATCAGTTTTTCAGTTATTCATCTTAAATTTATTGTTCCAAGTTATTTAAATAAACTTTATCAAAAAAATCATACATTTCAAATTTAAAGACAAAAACGTGCAAGATATCTCATTCTTTAAATATTATTTGAATGCAAACTATTATATATCAATGAAGAAGTAGAAAAAATGTTGGCAACTCTCCATTAGGCAAAATGCCACATATTTTATTTCCAATAAATCAACTAAATAGATAATATTATTTTATAATGTTATAAATTGTGTAATTGGTAACTGGAAAATGAAGAATTTAGAAACCATACTACTTGAATCTATTGTTTTGCATTTATTGTGAACAATTTAACTAAAACTTTTGTGCAAATTCAGGTATTTTGGAGCCGACAAGTCAAATTATGAGGAAAGTTTGCAAGAACACTGCTTAAATCAATTGCAAAATTAGACAAAAGCATTAGGAATTTACAAGAAATCAACATTCTGCACCATATCTATGATTTTTTACCATGTCAATTGCAGAAATGTAGAAGTCCTGTCCAAAAACCTACCAAAAACTTTGTGTAAACCACCAGAAAATTTGTGTGAACAACCACAGAAAACCTTGGATAAAATAAAACTACTCAAATACAAAAGCATCAATAAATTCCAAGAAGTCAACATTCTGCACCAAATCTATGACTTGTTACCATGTCAATTGCAGAAATGTAGAAGTCCTGTCCAAAAACTCACTAAGAACTTTGTGTAAATCACCAGAAAATTTGTGTAAAAACCACAAAAAACCTTTGGATAGCATCTACAAATTAGCTACAAATTAAGATGCTCCTTCAAAAATAAACCAACCTCCAAAATCCCTCACCATGTCTGCATTTACCAACCTCACCCTGGACCCAAATGCAACCTTAAGCTACTTTTTGAGCCACAAACTGGTTCGAGATCTAACCCAAAGATTACTTCTCTGGAACCAGACCCAAAATGCATCTCTATTCCTGGACAACCAGACTTTATCTGACCTTTACCAGGCCACAAAAGAAGGAAACGCCTATGGACGAGGCAGTATATCTATAGTCATCACAATTACAGTGATCTATCTAATAATTTTCCTCACTGGAATAGTTGGTAACATCAGTACATGTGTTGTGATTTCCAAGAACAAGTCGATGCATACTGTTACAAATTACTATTTGTTCAGTTTGGCGGTTTCTGATCTACTTTTGCTGATCAGTGGCGTGCCTCTGGAGGTGCACAAGTTGTGGTATCCTTACAGATTTGGGTTTGGAGAGCATGTTTGTATAATTCAAGGACTGTTTGCAGAGACTTCTGCTAATGCTACTGTTTTGACCATCACTGCTTTTACTATTGAGCGATATGTGGCGATTTGTCACCCTTTCTTGTCGCATGCTGCATCCAGCAAACTTTCTAGAGCCATCAGGTAAGGGATAGATAAATCTAGATGTAGTTGATTTTTTAGACAAATTGAGGTAAATTTTGACAAGGTGTAGTCAATAAAAGTTATTTACATTTATTGACAACATTTTTGCAACCTAAAACACCTAATTTCTTACCCAAATCAATACTAAATCTGATGCAAAGTAGAAGTCACCCCACGGCTTTTCTAATTTCTGATTAAACCAGAAACTTTTAAATAATTTATCAAGTGTTGGTTTTATCTTTGATAGTTGATTTTACTATTTTTCTAGGTATATAGCAGTTATCTGGCTCCTGGCCCTCGGTTTGGCCATTCCCCAGGCCATGCAATTCGGAGTTGTTCTGGAATACAACGGGATGACCCAGTGCACTTTCAAAAGAGAAGTGGTAAGACATCAAAATTATATTTAAATTCTGAAAAAATGTACTAAGTATGTATAGTTAAGAAACTGCTCGACTGATCTGTACCTTAAAATATTTATTGAACTAATATTTTTGGGCCAGATTTTGAATTTTCTAAAGCGATTCAGGGTTTTTGACAAGAACGTTGACGGAATTTTGTGCGGTTTGTTGGTGATTGTGAAGAAACGGCTGGGCCGATCTGCGTACAAAATTAGGCACCACTAGTGCTTATTATGTTTTATGTAAAGGTTTTTAGTTTTTTAAAATCGGTGTATGAGTTTTTGAGAAAACCGTCGTCGAAAGTCAAACTATGGTTCACGTACATATTGATTTTAGTCTTGGTGCACGAAGAATTGTGGTAATTGTAAAGAAACGGTTCGACCGATCTGCGTACAAAATTAAGCACTATAAGACCTTATCGTGTTTCATAGACTGGCTTTTAAATTTTCAAAATCGGTGTCTGAGTTTTTAAGAAATCCGTCGTCAAATGTTATGCATTGGTTTGCACACACTTTGATTTCAGTCTCGGTGCACGAAAGATTGTGGTAATTGTGAAGAAACGGCTTGGCCGATCTGCGTAAAAAATTAGGCACCACAAGTCCTGATTGTGTTTTATTTAATGGCTTTTAAATTTTCAAAATCTGTGTGTAAGTTTTTTAGAAATCCCTCGCCGAAAGTCGAACTTTGGCTCACATCCACATTGATTTCAATCTCGGTTCACAACGGATTGTGATAGTTGTGAAGAAACGGCTTGGCCGATCAGCGTACAAAATTAGGCACCACAAGTGCTTATTGTGTTTTATCGATTGGCTTTTAAATGTTCAAAATCAGTTTATAAGTTTTTGAGAAAACCGTCGCCGAAAGTCAAACATTGGCTTACATTCACATTGATTCCACTATCGGTGCACGAAAGATTGTGGTCATTGTAAAGAAACGGCTTCACCGATCTGTGTACAAAATTAGGCACCACAAGTCCTCATCGTGTTTAATCGATTGGCAATTAAAACTTTGTGAACGGTGTAAAAGTTTTTGCAAAAACCGTCGTCAAATGTTATACATTGGTTCACATCCATATTCGGTGCTCAAAAGATCGTGGTAATTGTTAAGAAACGGCTTGACCGATCTGCGTAAAAAATTAAGCACCACAAGTCTTCATTGTGTTTTATTGAATGACGTTTAAATTTTCAAAATCGGTGTATGAATTTTTAAGAAATTCGTCGCCGAAAGTCAAACATTGGCTCACATCCACATCGATTCCCAACTCGGTGCACGAAAGATTGTGGTCATTGTAAAGAAACGGCTTGACCGATCTGCGTACAAAATTAGGCACCATAAGTCCTTATTGTGTTTTATTGAATGGCTTTTGAATTTTCAAAATCGGTGTATAAGTTTTTAAGAAAACCGGGGTCGAATGTCACACTTTGGTTCACATCCACATTGATTTCAATCTCGGTGCACAAAAGATTGTGGTAATTGTGAAGAAACGGTTTGTCCGATCTGCGTACAAAATTAGGTACCACAAGTCATCATCGTGGTTACTCAATTGGCTTTTAAAATTTTGAAATCGGTGCATCCATTTTTGAGACAACGTCGTCGAAAGTCGAGCGTTGACTCATACTCACATTTCTTCCAATTTTTGTGTTGAAGAGATTTTGGTAATTGTGAAGAAACGGTTCAACCAATCTGTACGCAAAATCTGCCAAAAATAAAACACCAAATATTCTTTCATTCTTCACTATATTTTCACCATATTTTTCACGATTTTTCACCATTTTCTCACTATCATTTCCCCATATTTCTATTACCCAGGTGGAATACGCCTTCGAAGTCTCCGGTTTTGTTTTCTTCGTGGGTCCCATGACGGTTATAACCGTCCTGTATGCGTGTATTGGAGTCAAATTGAGGAGATCCAGGTTGGTCAGGTCAGACAACGGTGGAAACGCAAGTACAAATTCAGGAAAAAATAGCCTGAACAAATTTAGAGTCAACGGATCGCAGACAAAAGTCATCAGAATGTTGGGTAAGTGGAAAGTATCATTTATAATATATATATATATATATATATATATATATATATATAGCTTAGCAGAAACTAGATAAAATTTACTTAAAATCCATATAAATAGTTATATAAGCTCCAAAACAATATTTTTGAAGAATTCAAATTTGAAGTTCAAACTCGCTCTGGTATATTGTGCTCATTTTAAGTCTAATACTTGTCAGATTTTGTTACATTTTTTTTCAAATAACTCAAAATTTTTGTTCATAAGACTCTTTTATGGTTAGCTTAGCAAAAACTAGATAAAATTTACAACAAATGCCTACAAACGATTTCATACACACCGATATAAAAATTCTGAATAAAACGAGTTTGAAATCGGTTTTATATTGTATACAAGTTTGCACTAGAATATTCGGGACCTTTGCTACAATTCTTAAAATTAATCAAAAATTTTGTATATGGCACTCTTTTTTAGTTAGTTTAGCAAAAACTACATAAAATTTACTATGAACTTATATATACAATCTTATATGTTTTCATATAAAAACTATAAACAATATACCTAGCAACTTATAAAAATTTAAAAGTAAAACTCGTTCTTTAACAATCCATCACATAAAGGTATTTTCTTAGAAAATTCCAATAAATTACGGAACTCTTTCTGAGAATTTTTTGTAACTTTTTTGCCTTTTTATTTTAATTCTGTTGTAACAAAAGAAATTGTGTAATGGCATGTAACAAATCTTTGAAACAAACTTTTGTAGAAGAAAAAGCCACACCTTTCTACAATTCTTTGGAAGTTTTTATAAAAAAAAGTCTGATTATTAGAGTTTGGTAAAAAATAAATAAAAGCTCAATAAATATACTTTTTTAAATAAATTTAAAAGTAATAGACATTTGTTAAATATACTTCATCATTTTATTTATCTATTATTTCAAATATTTCAATCACTTTTTCATCTTAAATTTATTGTTCAAAGTTATTTAAATAAACTTTGTCAAAGAAAATCACAGCTTTCAAGATTTAATACAAAAACGTGCAAGATATCTCGAGATAAATTCTTTAAATATTATTTTAATGCAAACTATTATATATCAATGAAGAAGTAGAAAAAATGTTGGCAACTTTCCATTAGGCAAAATGCCACATATTTTATTTCCAATAAATCATCTAAATAGATAATATTTCACGAGCCTTCAGAGGAAATAAATCGTTTTTTCTTTCATCATTATATATATATATATATATATATATATATATATAATAAACGAGATAAATCTCTCTCGGGCCAGTTGTTTACAAAAAAAATATTTCCCAAGACAAGGAAAAAATATTTACGAGAGAATACTGATAATTGCATGATAACACGATACAAATGTTCCTATTTTACACTTTGAGAGGAAAAACATAAAAAATAATGGATAAAAATAGCAAATAAATTGTCAATTATATCGAAGAAATTGACTTTTATTTCTCAAAGAGGATAAAATATACTGAATATAAATAAAATCAATGTCGAATGCTTGATGTTTACGATACTTTTATTCAAAAGATGGTAAAAAGCTTAAAATAAGAGATAAAAAATGTAATTAAATATATAATTATAGCATAGGTATTATAATTTTTTTATGTCAAAAATTAGACAAAAATATTTGTCTGAATATAAGAGCAAGTTTAAATTTCAAAATGGATTTATTCAAAATTTTGTACCGGATTTTATAAAACTATTTACATGGATTTTAAGTTAATTTTATCCAGTTTCTGCTAAGCTAACTCAAAAAGAGTGTACCAAACAAATTTTTCAAATAATTTGAATAAATGCAACAAAATGTTTCAAAAATTAAACAAGAATATTTGTCCAGTATATAAAAGCAAGTTTAAATTTCAAAATGGAATTATTCAAAATTTTATATCGGATTTTATAAAACTATTTATATGGATTTTAAGTAAATTTTATCTAGTTTCTGTTAAAATAAATGTTATGGCTTTTTCTTCTACAAAAGTTTCTCTTAAATATTTAACACAATTTACTTAATGTTGAAAAATCTTCAAAGAGTATCGTAATTTATTACAAAGATCTAAAGAACTACTTTTCCTTAATGGATTGTTACGTAATGAGTTTTTCTTTGTAGAACGTTAATTAAAATACATTGTTTTAGATGTAATATGTATTGTAATTAATTAATAACTGAAAAATAGTACTCTCATATGAAATTTATGAGTTATTTGACAAAAACCAAAAAAAATGTCCCGAATTTTCTATTTATATTGCTAAAGAATGAAATATTGAATTCAAAGTCGTTTTATTCAAAAGTTTTATATCGGAGTGTATAAAAGTGTTCTCTAAAAAATGTTTTATCTAGTTTCAACCTAACTGAAAAAGGGTGGTTCCATATAAAATTTTTGAATTATTTGACAAAAACCAAAAAATGTCCCAAATTTTCTATATTTAAATATATGAATGAAATATCTAATTCAAAGTCGATTTATTTGAAACTTTTATTTTGGACTGAATATAACTGTTCATATAAAAATATAGTAAATTTTATCTAGTTTTTGCAGTACTAATACAGTCTCTGATACAAAAATTTTGAGATGGTTGAAGAAATGTAAAAAAATGTCCCTATTTTTCCATTGCATTTATCAAAATTTCGATTTCAAAGTTGTTTAAAAAATAATAATATATTTTTGGCAAACTTGTAAAAATTGGAAATCAAGGTTATTACTATTCGATGGCAAATTAAAAATGTTCTTAGAACAACTTTTTGAATCACCAAAATATCTACAATAGTTTTTATAAAATTGCATTTTTACATTTTGCAAATTTTATAAGTCGTAAAAAATCAATATGGATCCTGCGAAATCGAAATGTTTAAAAATGGAATATCTCGAGAACGCTTTTAGATATTTTAGAAATTCAAAAAGTCCCTTATATAATACTTTCAATTTGCCATCGAATTGTTTTGATCACAATATGTTATTTTAACTCGTTCACTAAAAGTGCAACATTAATTTGCATACTCATATAGAAAGCATCAAATAACACAATCGGTAATGAAAAAAAAACTTGGAAATATATTAATAGACTATAAGGATACATACTTCTAACTTGCATTGTTAAATATTTCTTCAAATCCTGAAGATTTTTTGTATATGTACATTCTTGAAATAAAAGTAAAGAAAGTAAAAAATGGAAATCAAGAGTATTACTATTCGATGGCAAATTGAAAATGCTTCTAGACCAACTTTTTGAATCGCCAAAATATCTGCAATAGTTTTTACAAAATTGCATTTTTACACATTGCAAATTTTATAAGTTGTAAAAAATCAATATGGATCCTGCAAAATCGAAATGTTTAAAAATACAATATCTCGAGAACGCTTTGAGATATTTTAGAAATTCAAAAAGTCCATTATATAACATTTTTAATTTGCGTCTGAGTGTATAACTGTTGGCATGGAATTGTAGTAAATTTTATCTAGTTTCTGCTTATCTAACTAAAAGAGTGCACCCATATGAATATAATATATATATATATATATATATAATATATATTAATTTTCTTCACCATTCTCAAGAACATATTCTTGTTGTTGTATAACCATAAGACTCGTGTTGCATAATAAATAGATGCAAGACGTGTCTCATGTGCAAATGCAAATATATATATATATATATATATATATATATATATATATATATACACAAATGTATATATTATGCATCATTTGCAATGCCCCATACATATCTCACAATGCATTTTGTCTGTCTGTCGATATTGTTATCGATGGCTTTGGCTTTTGAATAAATTGTTACTAGGCGCTATGTAGTCCCTTATATATTATACCAGTGATTTCCAACCCTTGAGGTCCTAAGGGTGCAAAAATCTGTTGCCAGATAAATGTCTCCAAAATAGGGATGAATAAAAAAAAGTCATTCCTTAATTCATTTTTTAGCACCAGACGCATTTTTAAATATTTCGATTTCGCAGGATCCATATTGATTTTTCACAACTTATAAAATTTGCAAAGTGTAAAAATGCAATTTTATAAAAACTATTGTAGATATTCTGGTGATTCAAAAAGTTGTTCTAAAAGCATTTTCAATTTGCCATCGAATAGTAATACTCACGATTTCCAATTTTTACTAATTCTTCAAGAATATATATTTTACACAAATCTTCTGGATTTGAGGAAATAGTCATCAATGCAAATCGATAGTATGTATCTTTGTAGTTAATTAATATATTTTTAAAGTTATTTTTCCATTACCGGTTGTGTTATTTGATGCTTTCTGTATGAGTATGCAAATTTGGGTTACATTCTCAGTGAACGAGTTAAAACAGCAAATCGTGATTAACACAGTTCGATGGCAAATTAAAAATGTTATATAAGCGACTTTTTGAATTTCTAAAATATCTCAAAGCGTTCTCGAGATATTGCATTTTTAAACATTTCGATTTCGCAGGATCCATATTGATTTTTACAACTTATAAAATTTGCAAAGTGTAAAAATGCAATTTTATAAAAACTATTGCAGATATTTTGGTGATTCAAAAAGTTGTTCTAGAAGCATTTTTAATTTGCCATCGAATAGTAATACTCTTGATTTCCAGTTTTCACCAGTTCCTCAAGAATATATATTATGCGCAAATAAATCAATGCAAATCGATAGTATGTATCTTTATTATTAATATTTTTAAGGCTTTTTTTCATTATTGATTGTATTATTTGATGCTTTGTATCATCATCCCCTAATTTTATATTGTTAAATTAAAAGGGCTTTCAAATAAAAATTCATCAATTTAAAATCCACCAATCGAGTTAATAAAGATTAAATTAATTTAATAAATATTAGAAATAAAAAATATTTTTTTTGTGCATAATATTGAAACCTTTGAAGTAAATCATAATATAAGTTAAAAATTTCAAAAAAGTTGGAAATCACTGTATTATTATTATGGGATTCTGTCGAAGGGCAATTGTGCAAGCTCCAATGCAATGAGGGTATAGGAATCTTTTTACATAAATTATATATATATATATATATATATATATATATATATATTGTAGTGGTATTCACCCTTTACAATAGTTATAAATAATATTGTAAATCGATGTAACGGTCAATATGAATAACGCATTTTGTATGACTCAACCTTGCGACATTGTACGCAACAAAGTATGAGAGATAAGCAACATTGTAACGAGCCGTAACGGTTTCTGCGTCTCAAACAAACCACAAAACTACGTCTAAAGTAAATAGGAGTGAGTCATTTTACGTATTTTTCTGGAAGGATAATTGCGCCACCATCAGAGATTATAAAAGCCTGAAGAGAACAAAGTCAGTGTTCATTTGTCGACTAAACACCAAACAGTTCACATCACTCTTATTCAAAATATCAATTGTGTAATAAGTGTAACCAAGTAATGAATTAAATAAAATTTATAAATGTCTTCAGATGTTTAATTAAATATTTCACAGTGGTAAAGTTTATGATAAGCAGCAGAAGAACCTAAATTTTAATTGTTGGCATCGATTGGACGCAACATAACTGTTGGTGACGGCCTCAACATAAATTGTTGTAAACCCAGGGGTGCACAACAATATATATATACATTTATATATATCCTAAATATTGATTTTCAGTCAATCGTCGAGATAAAAAAAAAAAAAAAAATATTGATAATATACATTTCGACATGGATTGTGTGTCATCATTCAGCAATTTTTGTTAATCAGTATCTAAAACTGATATTTACAAAGTTTAAAAAATATATTTAAATTTATATTTAAAATAATTAAAGAATAAAAGATATTATTTACAAGAGAATGAACCAACACGTTTGCAATTCAAAAAATAAAAATCAGTTTAAAACAATGCTCTCGGAACATGTCATTAATTTAAACCATACTTGCAAGACCAAAAACACTATTATTTTACATAAAGAAAAGAATGTTGACTTCGTCTTACGTAAATACAATATTTGACAAATTTGTACAAAATTAAATTACCTGTAATATTGTCTAACATTATAAAGCCCTAAGGCTACTCTGTATACTTTAAAATTGTACTCGAACTTAGATAATTAATCTCACATTAATCTAACATTTACCAACAGTGCATTTATTTATTGTAACTCCAGTAACTTTTGGACAATTTGTTTAAAATAAATACATTATTTGGCAAATTTGTATAAAATTAAATTATCTATAATATTGTCTAACATTATGAAGTCCTACAGCAACTCTGTATACTTAAAAATCGTACTCAGATTTAGATAATTAATAGACAATTAGATTTATCAGATTTAGATTATTAATAAACAATTAGTTTGTGCATTCATTTAGTAAACCTCTTGTAACTTCTAAACAATTCGTCTAAATTAAACGAAATATTTGACAAATTTGTACAAAATTAAATTATCTATAATATTGTCTAACATTATAAATACCTACAGCAACTCGGTATACTTCAAAATTGCTTTGAAATCATTTGCAACAGATTTTGACCCATACTCAAATTATTATATTGATTATGTAAATTACTCACACATTTAGGCAAGTTTAGGCAACTTTGCTTAGCGCAAAATACCACTTACACCTAGTAAATTATCTTAAAATTACTTACAAATTTTATTTTTCAAAAAAAAATACTATTTTGTCTTGTTTTATAAAAACGTAATACGCAATTTTGTATCCCAAAACCACCAAAATATTTACTTTCCTTTATCACGTGTTTTATATCGAACTTTGGCATAAATATCGACTTTCGGGGATAATAAAAAAGTTTTTCATGTTTTTTTACGATAGGATTTCCTTTATTAGTGCTGTGGGATAATTTATGGCACTATAATCTCGATATTTATATATGAAGATAGACACGTGTTTGCGGTTTTATAGATTATTTCCCATAATCTATAATAATGATGTAACCGAAGCCAAAAATTATCTTTTGACTAACTAAATTATCTTTTTGATACAAAACAGATGGTGGGATTTTTAATGAAGTACGAAATGCGTCGTTAATAAATTAAACTAGTGGTGTATGGCATCGTGCCTTGAGGCAAATTGCTGGAACTTCCCGTACCGTAACGAAATGATCGAGGAATATTAAATGTTTTCAAATAGATTATTAT